ATCATGTATACACAACCTAGGAAATCATACAACGGGTTAGAGATGGGCAGAGGAGTTTGGCTGTGAGAGTTTATACCTACGGCCTGGGAGGTGGGGTGTCCTTCTGATAATGATAACCTTGGGGCAAATATATGGTGAGACTTGTGAGTCAGAGGAATTCAATTCTCCCTGACAAGGTCAACACAATAGCATTTATCTACAGCAGGAGGCGGTTTAATCTGAGTGCTTCCCCTTGACTTTGCTATTCTTGCCATTTTCTCATTTAAAATTTAATTTGCATCAGTGGAACAGGGCGAGGGCTCTCTGTTGAAGTCTATGCCACACAGATAGAGAAGACGGGGAGTTTGGGGGCTAAGGTGCCACTTTCAGCTCTGTTTGTACGCTGAAGACGATGAAAAAGAACATGGTCATCCCTCTGGACAGGCCTTATTTTGCCACCCCTCCTCTTCTGTTTTCTTTATAAAAAAAAAATAACGTTTAGCTCTTTTTCTGATTTTAAAATTATACTTATTCATAAAAAATTGGAAAACACAGGACAGAAAACAAAAAAATATTCATCTATTATCTTACAACTCAGTGACAACAGTTAACTTTTAGCATATTTCCCTTTAATTTTTCTATGAGATATACATACACAAATACATATATGCACACACATCACACACACACTCTTATATAATGTTGTANTAATGTTTAGGTCTTTTTCTGATTTTAAAATTATACCTATTCATAAAAAATTGGAAAACACAGGACAGAAAACAAAAAATTATTCATCCATTATCTTCCAACTCAAAGTGACAACAGTTAACTTTTAGCATATTTCCCTTTAATTTTTTCTATGAGATATACATACATAAATACATATATGCACACACATCACACACACACTCTTATATAATGTTGTATCCTTTTTATTTTGTAGTAATTATAGATTCATAGTGTCTTGACTTTTTCATATACCATTGTATTTTGAATATTTCCCCTTTCATTAACAGTTCTTACAGATATCATTTTTCTGAGGTTGCAACTTTTGGTGGTAGCATTATTTTTTAAAAATTGTATTATTTGCTATTTCTAATTTATATTATAATAAAGGAATTTTAGTCCATAAAATTAATTTATATCTCTAATAATTTCCTTAGGACAGAAGTGGCATTTGAAGTGGAATTTTGAAGTGGAATTTTGGGTTTAAAATAGTTATTTTTAAGGCTATTGAAATATATGGTCAAATCACTGTGCAGAAAAGGTATATCAACTTAGCCTCACCAGAAATCTGTGTTTTCTCTTCCTTGATAGCATAAAGCATTGTTTTATTGATAATATTTTGCTCATTCATTGGCCATTTTTGCAATGTGAAGCTGGCTGTATTTGTCGGGATATCCTGGTTATAATGGATTCTAAAATGCTCACATAAACTGCAAAAGTCATGCCATTCAGCTTAATTAGAATAGTTAGAAACAGTTGTCATTTTCTAATGTCAGTTGCATAGTGTGCATGTTGCTAGCTATTGGGCTAGAAAAAAAGACTGTTAAGCTCTTTACAATGACCTTTCTAATACATTTCGATTACTACCTTATTTTACTTTATTTTCTTCAAAGAAAACATCTCCATTAAAAAGATATTTAAGTACTATATATTTTTTCTCTTATGTAAAAAAAATTCACAGATACTTAGACAAAGTCAGTTACCCTTTTCAAGGCAAATAGACACCTGCCGCCATCTGCAATTCTCCTACATGAAAAGTCAGAACAGACTTTTCTGACCTTCTCTTAGGAATTGCCTTTAATTTCCTTAAACTAAGCTGAAGAGTGGTAATAAAGTCAATTAGACAGGAGGCAAATGAATATTTGAGAATCAGCATTTCTGGGAGCAATTTTAGGAAATCTGTGATTGAACGGAGTATATCTTTGCTCCAAAAATTTTTATTAAAAACCTACTATGTGCCAGGCATTTTGCAATATGATGTTGATACAAAGTAAAAAAGATACAGTCCCTGCTTTCCAAGGGATCACAAATTAATAGCAGTAACGGACTTAAGTAATTATAGTAATATGGTAAGTGCCTATAGGGGACATAGGTATAAGGCTCCGCGGGGGCCTGGAAGACGAGGTTGCTAGTTGTCTGGCTTGGTAAAGACGTAACATATGAGCAGCATTCTGAAGGATGAGTAGGGTCTGTCCGCTTTAATGGTGAGAGGGTGGCAATGGGACATTCTGGGCAGAAGGAGCAGCACATGAACAGTAACTGAGGCAAGGCATCAATTTTCAAAAACACTAGGGATGCACTGAAAGATTTTAAGCAGGGACATGACTTGATCATAATTTTCCTCCAGAAAAAATCTGCAAAACGGTCAGTGGCTGGCATTTTTGCAGGGCTGGGGTAAATGGAGCCAAGTCACAAGACAAGATATGAAGAGACCACTTAAAGGGGCAAGACATTTTAATGGCCTAAACCTGCGGCTGTCAAGCTGTCGTATGCATCAGAGTCACCTGGACGGCTTGCTATAAAACACAGACTATTAGGCTCCATCCCCAGATTCTCTGATTCAGTAGTTATGGCATGAGGCCTAAGAATTTACATTTCGAACAAGTTCCCAGATGGTTTAGGGTGACTTCCAGGTTTTTGATTTAAGCAACTGGGCAGATCCTGGTGCCATATAACAAAAGAGGGAAAGTATGAAGCAAGTGCTTCTTTATCCAGCTCCCCCCCCCCCCTT